ACCCACAAGGAGCCAGACTGGCGTTGGCGTCTACCGCGATAGCACTTGCGCCGGCCGGAAGCGGTCTCATCTGACTGAACGTAGCCGTAGGAGTGGTGTTGGCGATCAGTAGAGTTGGAGAGATTGAAAATCTCACCGTCCAATCCAGCAAACGATGTCACAGTCTTCTTAGAAACGCCACAGTGACGGACAACATTGGCAACGGGATCGCCGAGGACGACGGCAATGAAGGCAGCGAGCATCCTTCGGAAGGCAGTGGATGTCTGAGACCAAATACCAGAGCGACAGGACATGTCGCAGGACGTCGTAAAATTGCTCAGACAAGGCACCCTGTGAAATAGACCCTTGAAGATGTGTTCGTTTTCACTATGACTCAACCCATCAATGCATTGACCCTCAACATTCATACGCGACCCCACCATGCATCTCTCACTGTGAATCACCATTAATGAGATGCCCCAGCTTGGCATACAACTTCTCGAGCTCCTGCGTTGCACCTGGAAGTCTATAATTGACATCTACACAAACGCTCAGTCTTCGAGTTTCCGGATTGTATCACCACAGTAACGATCCCACCTTCCAGAGCCACATCCTCTTTCCTCTCGCTCTTGTCTATGTTGTCGATCAGCACCGCCGGATTCACTCTACCTGAAACTCCTATCGTATTACACTACGTTTCATCGATGACCGACCTTCATTTCCTCCCTCCTGTACAAGGGACGATGTAGCAGTGCTCATATCGTCAACATCCATCATGCCAGGCTCGACCAAATGCAGCTGAACGGCTATTAATGGCTTCTTATGTTCATGTTGAGATCTCCTTTGTAAGAACGATTTGGGCTGGTCTGAGAGGACACGAGTGAAGTTGATATCCCAACACACGTGATGATCACCTTTCTGAATCACCTGTGGCTTGGTCATGCTCGGGTCTCTGAAAGAATGATCTCTGCTGCCAAGCCGTTAATGGACCATCAAGGCAATCCTAGCATTCATCAAACCATAATAGACTTACCCGATCCCTATCACCAGTACTATGCAAACAAACTGGACGAATGATGTGCGGAAGATTTGGAACATAGTGTTATCAAAGTAATAGCTGATGAGAAAAGATTTCAGAAGAGGCTTTGCTACTACAACAACAACTGCAGTGGATTATACAATACTGCAGTATCAGTCTGTCATCATAATCATTATTCTGTTAACATCCCATACATTAGGAGAAATAACTCATGACTCGGAAGTCCATGTTACTCTTGCGAGGGTGTATTTCTGCAGTAACACTGTGTTTGAATACGTGACAACTAATGGGGAATATCATCAGATGATCCCAGCCACTTCAAATTGACGAACCAAATTCCACTGAGCTCGCACAGTTAAGCATGTGAACATCATAACAAAATGGTCAAACCGGACAACGCATAGCAATCATGAATAACTTGGGCACGACCATATCGTCCAAAGGACCCATCATGCTGTCATCAGATCCCCGTCGCGGAGAGGTTCATGC